AAGCCACCCAGGCATCTTTGTGTGGAGATCTAGCGAAGCAGTGTGTGGCTGCATTGTACAAACTGGCCCAGATCCCCTTGGGCTGGCCCTGGCAGCCGTGCTTTGTGGCCAGTCATTCTCCCCTGAGCCAGATGTGGCAAAGGGCAGGCTGAGCACTGCACCACAGTGCTGGTTTCTCTCCTGACTAGGTGGTTTTGAGGACCTTTAAGATGTTGCTGTCAGTTTGTGCCCTACAGCTGAGCACTGATAACTGGACTGTCCATGCAAATATTTGATTTAGTGTAAATCAAATAGGAGGCAGGCATTTCCAGAGCCAGGATCTCTTCATCAGATGCTGGTGGAGGTCTGAGAGATGAGGGACTTCAAATGTTTGTGTTAACATACAGCTCTTAACCCTACAGGGCGGGATGGGTGATACTGGTCAGCAGGCAGTCCGCACCAGGATGCGGGCCAGGCCTGCAACCAGTGCAAGACGTGACATGCATGCCGCTGGGACCTGCTGCTGTTGCACAGGTGACATTCCCCTGGCTTCTGGTCCTTCAGATACCAGCCTTGTGTGCAGGGCTTCAAATATCCCCGCTGGCAGGAACTTAACACTGGGAAATGCAGGGCAGAGTCCACTCTAGCGGGAGATTGTGGAGGCTGGGTGAAAAGATCAAGCCATTGTGCATTACTTCGGGGGGGAAAGCTGGCAAATAAAAGCTGGCAGCCCAGGCAGCTTCACATCTCTTCAGGGTGTCATTCCAGCTGAGGAGAGAGCTTGGGCTCAGATTTCATGTGTTGACTTGCCACCTCTGGCAGTGAGCGTCTGAACCTTTCTTACATCAGTGAGAAGCATTAATTGATTGTGCTTCTGTCCCGCTGTACACAAATTGGGGACTAGCAATTGCCTACAGCAGGTGGAGTGGAAGGGACGTGAGATCTTTGAGTGGCGTCAGGAATAGTGCTGGAAACTCCCATGTCCCGAGTCTTGCTGTCCTTGAGACATGAAGGGCCCTGGTATAGTCAGAACTTATGTTGGAGCATTCCCTACTGTCACCTCCCGTGCTGGGTGGCCTTCTCCTCCTCTTTGCTGCTACTCACCTCTCTCTTTCCATTCTCCGTAGGAAGAAACTAGCGATTTGTTGCTGTGACGTTGCGTGGAAACCACATTGTAAAGAAACCACAAACTGGAATCCTTTTCCAGCCGGAGGCCTGTTTCCCAGTGCGCCCATCTGGTCTGGGATGCGTGAGCATTGAAGGAGTGAGAGGACAGAGCAGACGTCTTACGGCCTGCTCCTTGGGACCGCAGCCCTCCTGCCGGGGCATGCCACCTGGGCGGGAGCACGGCGTTACCTGGCCTTTGCAGGCACTCAGTCTGCTGTGTGCACTGAAGCCGTGATGCTGGGAGTGTGGCAGTATGGAGATCAGTCTAGTTGCGTCTATTTAATATGAAATGTGATCGCTCATCCGCCCACTGTTTAGTAACTGTTGTAACTGTGTTTTCATCTGTATTTTTTTAATATGCAAAAGCCATTTAATTTTCTATGCAGTTCAAAAAACGTCTCCCCTTTGCAACTGCCAGGTGGGAGATCTGTGCGGGAGAACCGAGCCAAGTGGCTGACAGTCCTTCTGACTTTGCTGGCGCTCTCTTTTAAGGATGCAAACTGGAATCCTCTGCACAGTGTCCCTTTGCTGAGCTGCTGCCTTTTAGACCCCACTTAACATCCCTGAGCCCCAGGGATGAGGGCCCCGTATTTTTGAGGGATCTGTCATTTTTCGTGAGTCAAGCCACAAGGATAGAGGTCTTGAAGACAGTGCCCTAAAAGCAGAGATATCCCAGTTCAGAACGTGTATTGTATTCCTGTTCTTGTCCCTGCTCAGGGAGTTACTGAACTGTTAGAAACAACTAAGGCCTCTGTGGAGCACCCTGCAGCCATACTGAAAGTGTATTCTGAAGAGGGCAGAAAGGACTGGGGCATCAATTGTCTCCCCATGGAGATGACAGTGAATTTAACCCCTCTGGAATAGGAGGAGTATCTCCTGGTACTAGATGCCTACTTCACTCAAGAGGACTGCGATGGTTTTGCTTAGTGGTTTGCAGACCCTTTGCTTGTTGACCAGTTGATTTCCTGCTGTTTTTTTTGGTTTTGCAGCAGAGCTGGCAAGTTGCTTTGCACTGCAGGACTTCCAGCAGCTGCAACATGTTGTGGAATACCTTGTGTTACGCTCTGAAGCAAAACCTGGGATTCAAACCTGCGTCCGTCCAAGTGAAACTCCCAGGATAGCAGCTTTGCCTTCTGCTGGGTCTGTGTAACGTGAGAAATTTCATGCCCCTAAGCAGCACGCAAATCTGTTGAAATAGAGTGAGAGGGAGCCCAAAGGGTGATGCTGCACATCTGGCTCATCTTAGGGCTTGCAGGGGTACTTGGAGGCCTCTGGCAACTGCAGAGGGTCTTGGGTGATGGGACACCTCTGCTTTAACTGTGCTAAAGGCAAAAAGGTCAGAGAAATAAGATTGTTTCCATCCTGCCACCAGGCCAGGATGTGTTTTGACTAGTCTCCTTTTGTGGCAGTGCTGTTCTTTCTGCATTCTGTCTCTGCTCTGAGCTTGGGGGATTCAGCTTTAAACGGAAATAGAGACCAGATTCGGATTTAACCTGCACTGTGGTCTCTCAAATCAGATCGAAGAGACTGGGGAGTGCTGAAGCACAGCTTGTCTCCCTTGCTGCATACTCCATGCCACGGTTCGACCGTGGCTGTGAAAACAGTGCATTTGGGAGCTGCTTTCCCAGGAACCCAAGATGTGCTTGGCTCTGCTGTAGCACTGGAGCTGACATGGGGTCCCTGTTCCCTTCTCCTTTGTACCTCTGGGGTGGTTAAATTTTGTCAGAGCAGTAAGGGCTCCTCACTGTGAGGAGACAGATAGGGTTGTCAAAGGCAACTGCAAATGGTATTTAGAAGCTCACTAAGTGAGGTAGAAACCCGACTCTGCTGCTGCAGAGCCACATCCCAGAGCTCAGCTCCTCCTGTGCCCTTTGGATGGGATCTTGGGCTGGCATCCTTGGAACGGCAGTGCGGGGAGGTGGCGATGCTGCACTGCAGTAAGCACAAGAAGAGGCGAGCAAGTGGGCCTCGGTGTAGCACCCATCACACGCTTCATGGCTCAGTTCATGGACTGTATTTGCAGGTATTCATATAATCGACATCACTGGGCAGGACTCTGCGCGCACACACATGCATGCCCAGATGTACACGCACCGGACCCACACTCACCCACACATCCTCGCCAAAACAACTGAAAATAAAAGTGATTTCAATCTCAAGGAGAGGCCTGGCTGTTTGATTTGTTTTTCCTCTTCCAGTGCCTGCTTGGGCCCTGCCTGTGGAAGGGTCTGCGCCTAATTACAGAGTGGGGGTTTTCTGAATCCAGGAGCCAGAGCTTTCAGGAGCACTGTTAGCAAATGACTCGCAGTATCATTATGAGATTTGGGATTGAGTGAATCTGAGCATGGAGCCACTTGTTGGGATTAACATCTGTGAACCACTGCCTGCTCCAGCAAGGCAGGCGATTCCCAGGGAACAGCTTTTTCGCTGCTGCGTGTAGGATGTTCTGCGGGTTTGTGAGGCCAGCTCGGTGGTTCTCGTTGGTACCATGTTGTTTGCTCTCTTGTAAAGCTTCGTTCCCTGCAAACCCTGCTCAAGTGCTACGTTGTCCAGAGGCAAGAGCAGCGAGACAGCTGGGCCTCCGCTTGCCAACATAGGTGTTAATGGCAGTGCCAGGAGTACAGACGACAAGCAGGGAGCGAGTGCCCTCCCACGCAGCCCCGAGCAGCTGTGCGTGACCCCACTTCCATCGCCGCTCTCAGCTGGAGAAGACAAGCCAGACCTCCGTGGCAGCCGCCCCCAAC